GCACAGTGGGGGCTACACCTGGGCATCGAAAAACACTACAACACATGGACGATTTTTTACGTCCACACAAAGGAAACAGTAGCAGCACGTGATGTCATTTTCTACGAGCGACTCACACTTCAAACGTACCTGGACAGCCTGGCAGCCGATCGAGACCTCACGGGTGGCTTCCGTGGGAACCGAGCCTTCGCCACACCAGCTGACAAAGCTGACTGGGACGAGCAAAACGTGTACGGCGCATCCGAGGAAGCAGGACCACTTCCATACTGCTCCGTGCCCATCCCGATGGATGACGAAAACCCTCGCGAAAGTGTCAACGCCGAAGTCTACTACGAATTAGCCGACAATGGTTACGTCTCACCCCAATCAGTCAACACAAATGTATCAGAAAGAATCGGCCCCAACTTCCTACCCGATCCAGAAGCGGGAGATGAATCAGCCTATCCCGAGGACGCAACTCTCCCCCGCTACACACAGAGTGGACTGCAGTTAATGGGACTCGTCACCGCTGTCCACGGAGCGGCACCACCTAAGGAGCCTGCCACTATTCAGCAGGCTCTCGGGGGGGGACACAGGGAAAAATGGCGCGAAGCCATGGACAGAGAATTAAAGGCGCTGCAAGAACGCAACACCTGGAAAGTCGTGCCTATCAAAGTGGCACGCAACAAGACCATTCTCACGGGAAAATGGGTTTTCCGCATGAAAACGAAAGCTGATGGAACGATAGATAAATTCAAGGCACGCTGGGTCATGCGTGGCTTCGACCAAGAACATGGACGAGACTTCACCGAAACATTCGCACCAGTTAGCAGACATACCTCTCTCCGAATCCTCCTCGCGATAGCCGCCATGAAGAGGAAGAAACTCCGCCAAATCGACATTGGCAATGCCTTCCTCTACGCCCCTGTCGACGCTGAAATCTTCGCCGAACAACCACATGGGTCTAATGCAGACCCTAACCAAGTCTGTCAACTACAAAAATCCCTGTACGGGATCAAACAGGCTCCGAGGCTATGGCAACAATATTTGCACGCTCGATTGATTTGTCAGAGGTCCACTGGTGATCCCCGATGGATCCTAGGGAAGGGTTACAGGCTCGCTAGTCCTGGGGGGTTATGGGCGCACTGACCCGCTACTTAACAGGCCCTTCTATCCCAATGGTCTAGTGACTGGGATTCTGCCATGTTATCAGAGCGAAGGTCTCGGGTTCGAATCCCAGTGTGTGCACTTCGGACATCCCAGTGCGGGGGGGTGTCAAAGGTCCACTGGTGATCCCCGATTGATCCTAGGGAAGGGTTACAGGCTCGCTAGTCCTGGGGGGTTATGGGCGCACTGACCCGCTACTTAACAAGCCCTTCTATCCCAATGGTCTAGTGACTGGGATTCTGACATGATTCGCATCGGATTTCGCCAACTCCCGCACGACCAAGGGATGTATCGTCTCACGAAGGGTGCCGACTACATCTTACTCATAGTCTATGCGGACGACCTGATTTACATCGGCTCTACCGACGACGTCACGACCTGGTTCGAAGGGGAGCTACAACGGGACCTCACGCTCACCGTCTCGTCTACCGTAACACAGTACCTAGGATTCAACATACAAGACGGGGAAAACGCGATCTACCTCAGCGCCGCAAAATACGCCGACACCATCGCCAAACGCTTCGGATTAACCCCAAGCACCATTACCACACCATATCGCTACACCGACGGAAGCAGCAAGGAAGTCTCCGCGCCACTCAAATTCGCCGGCATACGCGACTACCAACGAAAGCTAGGCCGCCTCCTCTTCGCAGCCGTCACCTGCCGACCAGACCTATCATACTCAGCGAGCCAGCTCGCCACCTACCTCAAGAAGCCCACAGCCGCGCACATGGCGGAACTCGATCGCGCTCTACACTACCTCGTCAGCACCCCGACAGTCAACCTAACCTACCACAAAAATGGAATCGCAACACCTAAATTAATCGGCTACGTCGACGCGGATCACGCCGGAGACTCTGACAACAGGCGATCTCGCACTGGCTACATCTACCGACTCGAACCTATCGGCCCTATCTCGTGGCAAACGAGCAAGCAAGAGCTAATTGCTCTCTCCTCAGCTGAAGCAGAATATATCGCACTCTGCTCAGCCACCAAGGAAGGATTGTACCTTCGCGAACTACTAGAAGAAGCGAAGCTGACTAAGTTACCCAGCTTCTCCTTGTTCTGCGACAACTAATCGACCATTCGCATAGCGAACAAGAACGGGTTCGCGAATCGAATGAAGCACATCGCCCTCCGGTACTTCTTCGTAAAAGACGAAATCGAGAAGGGGAGGCTTGAGCTATCATACTGTCCCACATCCGAGATGGCAGCCGATTACTTGACCAAGAAACTCGGAAAGCATAAGTTTGAGTATTGCATGCTGCTGACTGGACAAGGCCATGTCATTAGCAGCGACACTCCAGAAGCGAAGGGGAGTGTTGGAAACAGGCAATTTAGCGCTCCTATTGTGTCGAAACAATAGACTACAAACGAGGCGAATCACGGCGGAGCAACGGCGAGTCAACCAAGGAGGTTAACAAAACGTAACAGCTGGAGGTTACTCGAAGGTCAAAGGTCAGCGCAGGGCTGATTTTATCAGGGTAATTACCCTGATTTCAGGGTGATTTCAGACTTGTCACATTCTGGTCCCTGTAATTTCAGGTTTATCGTCTTATGAACACTGATCTTGTCAGAGTAGTACTTTAGCGAACCCTGGAATTTTGTATACACTCACAGAGTAGTGTTCTTAAGGACCCTGTCCATACAGAGTATGCGTCTTGTTGACCCTGAATGCAACGTTATCGGGACGAAGCTTCCAGGAACCTTCGTCTCGATAACCCCCATGTGTGTAATCATGATTACGCTTGCACCCATCTCAGGGACTCCATGAGCGCTATCCAGGTTATCGCAGTACACTACGTTTCTGTTAGAATGACTAAAAATTCAGTTTCTGATTTCTGCTGGCTGTAAACTTAAACCGAGAAACAAATCGCGATCTGACGGATCGCAAAGTGATTCGGCAGGAGATTAAAAAAAAACCATCCGTAGTGAAACACCGTATCGCCATGTGACTGATAATTTATAGTCATCAGCTGTTTTTCGTTAACTTTTGAGAAAAAAACATGTGTAAATTATAATAATTGTGAAACTAAACGAGACACTAATATTGAAACGTCTCCCCCCACCAAAACCAGGTCGAGTCTCGACACCCCTCCCATGAGCAGTCCGTTCCCCCATTTCCTCCCCCCCTTCTCCCCCTTTTGTGCGGACGACCCGCGGTCACGAAATAGCCCCCACCCACCCCCCTCACTTGCTCCCTCCCCCTTTGCACACCCCTCGCTCTCGCCCCTGCGCCCCTAGGAGATCCTCCCACGCCACATGCACTCCCTCCAGCCAATCCGCCAATCCAGCTAGATTTCTCGCGTCAAACACGTCACTGTTTTTCTCGCCAAACTAGAAAGAAGAAAAAAATCAACCCTGATTTCAATTCGCCAACCCTGACAGCCCAGACTTACGATTTCGTGAACGCTGAACATCGCAAGAAGGCTCAGGCTTGGCGTTTTGCGGAAAATGTGCCTTCAGGGTAAATCTCTTTTTGGGGGATTGAAAACAGGGTACCCATATTTGAATCGTCAGCCCTGGGTCAGCGACCTTTGACTCGACGAAATACAGCACGACAGCAAAGGACAAACAACTGATTCAGTATTTAGCAGTTGCCCAAGTCGTCACTGTATCGAACCACAACAGCAAAACAGTTAGTTGCACCTTTTCGTATTCCTTGTTATCTTATAAAAGCCTTTGTATTACCTTGCTATAATCAATTCATCTTGTTCTCACACACTAGTGCAAGGTGGTTCAACAAGTTTACTATACACTTCCGCAATTACAACATCTCTACCCAGAAGTCTTAGCCTTGAAAAGATCCTAAGGGCTTTTTCTGCCCAATAGACATTTCCCAACCTCGGCGCTAGGCCTGTAGCGCACCCCAATTTCTCGTATTACCGTTAACATGCTAGCTTCGCTATATATTCTTCGCTCATGCCTTCGCTCAATGTATTGTTTTTGCTTCGATGGTGCAATTCTCGCTCGCTCGCTCAAGTGCACTCGTAACATTAAGCTTTTTTTATTATCAGAATGTCTTCAACGTCTACAGTAGTGTCGGATTTGAGTTATGACACTTCAACGGCTCTGGGTGATAAGAGCATATCGCGTCGTGGTATTGGAATGAATCAGGAACATATGTGGTCAGGTCGTAGATTTTTAGTTTTACCAGCGGTTCAGGGTCAGCGGTTGCCTAGTTTTACCATCGCACTGTGACGCAACGAATCTAACCGCAGAGGACGTACAGAAGATGTGCGACTTCAAATGTGGCTGATCAGACTTCTATAGCCGGCCCCGGAAGTGCAGTCAAGAGTGACCGGCACCGCCTGACAGCCTTCCCGCCGCATGACAGGTTGCACTAACCACACAGGAATAGTTTGTTGAGCCCACCACTTAAAACACCCTGATGTTTCCAGGGCACTCACCCATATTTTTCTTAGATGTTGGAACCCACCCACAAAGGATGAAGGCTCGACAGTAGTAGGCTTGCTTTTCTTGCTGGGGTTTCCTTTAGGAAGCCGCCTTGGCACCAGTCTGAAAGTAAAGCCAGATACTTCTCTAAGGGCGCGTAACCATGTTGGTTTTTCTTGAAGTTGTGTTTGAAAAAGAACGTTCGATAACGGACGGTTATTCGAACTGTGAAGTAAAACTTTGAAAGTTAAGGGTTTCGCGCGAAACTGGATCATGTTACTCCATCAGGCGAGTGTCTTGAGTTTCGCATAGTCACCATTGCGTCTTGGGTCAGCGAGTCTCGTCATTTTCGAGTTTCGCTATCCTCCAGCAGGTGTCGCCACTCAGCAGCAACGTCACGAGGGGGTCACAGCGGCTGCCTGGCCCGCAAGGCCTAGCGTGGCGCGGACGTGTCAGCCATGACCGTCCATCATTCGACGGCGCTACTCGTAGCGGCGATGGCGGCTCTTCTCCTCTGCCCGGCAGCACTGCCAGCGGCAGCAGACGCGTCCGTCAAGTTCCGCTCTTCCCGCCGCCTCACAGCCCCCCAGAGCCTCGGTCTGCTGACCGATCTGCACTCATGGTTTCGTGGCGGAACGACCGCGGGTGCGCAGCAAGACCGCTTGCTGGTCGAGAAACCCGGCGCAGGGGCAAGCGGCGTAGGTGGCGCAGGCCAATCATCCACCAACGGCGGAGGTAGCGGAGGGAAACACCAAGGGTCCACCGGCGCAGGCTCGGCCACCGACAACGGCACTGGCGCCGGCGGCGTTGACGGCGGCAGCGGCGGCCAAAGGCCCGCCTCCGGCGCAGCCGAAGCACCCACCAGCGGCGCAGGCGGCGGAGGCAACAACCAAGGAAACCCCGACCCCAGCGCAGGCGACGGAGGCAACAACCAAGGAAACCCCGACCCCAGCGCAGGCGGCGGAGGCAACAACCAAGGAAACCCCGACACCAGCGCAAGCGGCGCCCACGGCGCAGGCTCCGGCCAAGCACCCTCTGACGCCGGCGATGGCGTAAGCGGCGGCCAAGGACCCGCCTCCGACGCAGCTGAAGCACCCTCCAGCGGCGGAGGCACCGGAGCGGCGCACCGCGGGCACACCGGCAGCGCAGGTGGCGGAGGCGCCAACCAAGGACCCCCCGACACCAGCGCAGGCGACGCCCACGGATCCGCTGAAGCCGACGCTGGCGGTGCGGGCGCAGGCGAAGGTCATCCCAGCGCCGGCGGTGGAGGCGACGCAGGCGGCACAGATACCCCAGCCGGCGGCAAAGCACCCGCCGACACGGCCGGCCCAGGCGCCAACCAAGGGCACACCAACGCCGGCCAGCCTGCCGTTGTGTCGCATGGCGGTGGAAATCGCGCGGAGCCATCGTCGGGAGTGCGCATGCGGGACATGGTGGTGTGGCGAGCCGCATAGTTCCAACTGAAGGGGCGCGAAGCATAGGCGCACATGGCGGCCGGCAAGGCCAAGGCGGCCGAGGCGCATTCGCAGGCTTTGGCGTTGGAGGATGCGACAGGCGTGGCTTGGACCGGACTGGCGCGCGGTTGCGTGGATCCGGTGAGAGCACCCCTTTCGGTTCAGACTTTGTTCGCAATTCTGCGCTCGCGGCAGTGGCAGTGCGGAGTCGTGCAGTCGCGGCGAGCGTACAGTGTGATGTGATTTGTCACGGTGGGGCCTAACGCATGCGTGGTGTGCGGCGTGGTGTGGGGTGGCAGATGGCGCTGGTGGCAGAGAGCGTGGAGGAGGCAGCGGGGATGATATCGAGCGGCGGCGAGGACGTGAATCTGCCGCGCATCCACCTCTCCAACGCCGTCACGCTCGCGCTCGACTGCGCCGAGGGATTCGACCTCTTCGCGCCGGGCAGCTCCCAAGACGCCCGCGTCAACGCCCTCCAGGTGCGTCCAGGCCTCCCAGGATCCCCGCTGCTGCTGCTGCTGCTCCGTCAAGGCACCGCGGCCGTGCCGTGAAGCGGCCCTGCTGCCCTCGCTCTCCCTGCTCGCTTCTACCCCTGCCTGTGCTCTTCTCGCCACCATCCGTTGTCCACATTGCTGCACGCTGGAAAGCTTTTCCATGGAGAGATTTGCCGTTCTGAAGTGGTCATGAGGAACTCATGATGTTGCACGTGCGGCTGTGGCGGTGGTACGTGTGGTGGTGCGTGCAGGAGGCAGCAATGGAAGCTCGTGCGTCAGTGATGGAGGCGCTGGGGCGAGCAGCGGAAATGGCGGCCATGATCGCAGCAGGCGACGACAGCGCTGCTGCCGCCGCTGCCGCGCCCTCGCCCTCGCCCTCTCGCCGCTGCCTGCTGCAAGCCACCGGTGCGACCAACGGTGGTGGAGGCCCCGCCGCCACCGGCGCAGGCACTGCCACTGCTGTCACGGTGGCCAACCCCCACAACTCCATTCCCGACAACATACATGGCAGAGGCAACACCAAGAAAAACAACTCCAGTGACTCAACACCAGCCTCCCCGCCTCCTTCTCCGCCACCCTCTCCCCCTCCCCCTTCGCCACCCCCTCCCTCCCCTCCTCCCTCTCCCCCTCCCCCTTCGCCACCCCCTCCCTCCCCTCCTCCTTCTCCCCCTCCCCCTTCGCCTCCCCCTCCTTCCCCTCCTCCCCCTTCTCCTCCTCCTCCCTCCCCTCCTCCTTCTCCCCCTCCCCCTTCGCCTCCTCCTCCTTCCCCTCCTCCCCCTTCGCCACCCCCTCCATCCCCTCCTCCGTCTCCTCCTCCCCCTTCGCCTCCCCTTCCTTCCCCTCCTCCCCCTTCTCCTCCCACTCCCTCCCCTCCTCCGTCTCCCCCTCCCCCTTCGCCTCCCCCTCCCTCCCCTCCTCCGTCTCCCCCTCCCCCTTCGCCTCCCCCTCCCTCCCTTCCTCCGTCTCCCCCTCCCCCTTCGCCTCCCCCTCCCTCCCCTCCCCCTTCCCCCCCTCTTCCTCCCCCCTCCCCACCTCCTTCACTTCCTCCATCCCCACCTATGCCGCCTCCCTCACCTCCGCCGTCCCCTCCCCCGTCCCCGCCCCCATCTCCGCCACCCCCCGCATCGCCCACTCCGCGCATCAACCCCACGGTCACCGTGGCACAGGATGGTTCCGGGAACTTCACCACCGTGCAGGTGCGTGTGGGAGTGGGTGTGTGCAAGGGTGTGCATATGCTTGCACAAGGGAATACCAACTCACATGTCTATGTGTGCCTTGTCTGTTCTCCCCTGGGGATCACAGGATGCAATCAAGGCGTACCCGGTGGGCTTCAAGGGGCGCTATGTGGTGTTTATCAAGCCGGGCCTTTACCGTGAGAAGGTGCTCGTCAACTCCACCTGCAAGAACGTCACGTTCCTGGGGGTCAGTGCCCCCTCCACTGTCATCTCGTGGTACGACAACGCCACTGCCGGCACGAGTACCTTCCAGACCCACACCGTTGGTGAGCAACGTCCACCGCTCCCTCACTCTTCTCCTTCCTTCCTCCACCACCTGCTCTTCTTGTTTACTCCTTCCTGCATGCTCCTGCTCCTCTGCCTGCTAAGGTTCTCCCTGCTGCTGTACTCTCGCCCTATCTCTCACCATCTGAAACCCTCTCTCTTTTCGTTCTCCCCTCCCCCTTCCGTCCTCCGCAGCTGTGGAGGCGAGTGACTTTGCGGCCATCGGCATTCGCTTTGAGAACACGGCGGGCAAGGCTGGAAGCCAGGCAGTGGCGTTCAGGCAGACGGGCGACAACGCAGCATTCTACGAGTGCGAGTTCATCGGCTGGCAAGATACACTCTACGTGCACGGCGGGCGGCAGTACTACCGCAACTGCTATGTGAATGGGACAGTAGACTTCGTTTTTGGCAACGGTGCAACTGTGACGGACAACTGCACAGTCCATATCCGCTCATACTCGAGTGCGACGGTCACGGCATTAGGGCGAACCAACTACACGGAGAACACGGGCATTGTGATCCTCAACTCTGTCATACAGGGCGACCTCGCCAACAAGACATACCTTGGCCGCCCTTGGAGGGCCTATGCCCGAGTGACCGGATGTCCCCTTCTGCCATACTGCTGTCATCGCATGGCCTCCACCCTCATCCCCCCTCTGTTTTTCCATTTTGCTTGCCCTCCCCTCAGGTGAATACAAATGGCTGGCTGGACTGGGGGGGTATAGTGTACAATACTTCTACGTTCATAGAGCAGGGAAACAGTGGGCCGGGGTCGGTGGGGCCGCGCATAGCGTGGGCACTGCCGAGCATCGTGACTGACCCTGCCCAGGTCGCCATGTACTACCCCAACACCTTCCTCGCCCCCTTCTCCTCCATCGCCAACCTCATTCCCTTCCCCTGGCTCTAACGTTCCTCTCCTGAGGTGATCCTTGGGACGATCAACATCTGATCGCAGCATGTACAAATTTGGGCTTTCTAAGTCCTCCGGTTTTAATGGATCACTCTACGGTACATTAGGTGGCGCAACGAGCAGCTGGCCATTAGTAAGAGGCCCATGTTGTCCCCCGCTTGAAGAGAGGAAGTTCCACCCACCTTGAAGGCACGAAGAGGATTGGTTAGAGGGTTCTGTAATACCGTAGTGTGTAGCTGCGTTTTTGTTGCTTTGCTGCAGAGAACTTAAGGTCAGATTAAGACTCTTACATCATTCTTTAACAGACACGGCACCTACATCTTACGGTACAAGCAACGTGACAAAGAAATTACATTAACATGAAACAAACTAAGGGCATCCAAATATATATAGGTGTTAAGATCTTTCATTGTATTTAATGACACCGTAAGGAAAAATCCGTTTCCTTACTTCGCGCCGCTGCTCAAGCGCGTACACCACTGTAGCACAACAGTCAGCACCGTTACCACTCGCAACCCTCGCATCGACAATGTTGGGCTGAAAAGGCCCTTAGGATCTTTGCAGGACTAAACTCTGAGTAGGACAATGTAATAGCGGAAGCGTTTAATGACAAGTTTGTGAACCACCTTGCGCTGGTATGTGAGGGCAAAGTAGATTGATTAAAGCAAAGAGATACAAGCTTTTATAAGAGTACAAGGTGTCATAATGAAGAAGTGAAACAAGAATGAAGGAAGAGGGGATTTGCACTAGCAGCAGTTGGCGGTACATATAGGAAACCCTAATTGGGTTGTACTCGCTATAGAGTACCCCACTGCAGGCTAGACAATAATAACATTCTGACACACCCCCATAGCCAAAGTGGGGTGTAATCAGCACAATGAGCAGGTATAGCAATAGTTCACAATTATAAGCAAAGCTAGAGGTAATCACAGAGGGCAAGTGAGGAGGAGGAGGAACTGTGAGGGGAGAGAAGATTGGAGACGACGGCTGAAGCTGCAGACACACGGGCAACAGGAGCGCGCACACAGTGGCTACCGGGACAGCGCCCCGGACTACTGGAGTAACTGGCTCGGCGGCTACGAGGAGCGGCAAGAGTAACGGACCCACGGGCGACAGGCACAGCAGGCTCGCTGGGCTACCGAGAGCACGACGGCTCCGGACTACTGGCGCTGCAGGCGACACGACGGCAGCCTCCACACAACCTCCCCCGACCGTCCCACACCCCTCTCACACACCCCCTGCTGAAACCCCTAGCTCCACTCCCACGGCACCCCCTTAAACCCTAAACCCTCGGCTCCCACACACCCACCCCCCTCAGCGGCAGCTGCAGCAGTGGGAGACGGAGGAGGAGGAGGAGCTGCAGTGGCGGCTCGCTCCAGGGGCCAGGGGCAGCTGCTGCAGGGGCGGCTGCTCCAGGGGCCAGGGGCGGCTCGCTGCAGGTGCGGCTGCAGCAGGGGCGGCTGCTCCAGGGGCTAGGGGCGGCTCGCACGCTGCTGCAGGGGAGGCGACGGGGGGGGGGGGGGGGGGGGGGAACGCGTGCCCCCTGAGGGCGCCGCGACGGGCGACGGGGGGAGCAGCGGGCGGGCCCCCGGAAGGACCCGTGACGAGCGACGGGGGGGGGGGAGGGGGGGGGGGGGGGGAGGGGGGCAGCTCGCAGGCCCCACGGGCGCCGCGACGGGCGACGGAGGGGGGGCAGCGCGAAGGCCCCACGGGCGCCGCGACGGGCGACGGAGGGGGGGGGGGGGCAGCGCGAAGGCCCCCCGAAGACGCCTCGACGGGCGACGGGGAGCCGCGCGCGTGCCCCCTGAGGGCGCCGTAACGGGTGACGGGGGGGGGGCAGCGCGCAGGCCACCCGGGGGCGCCACGACGAGCGACGGGAGGGCAGCGCGCAGGTCCCCCGGGGGCGCCGCGACGGGCGAGAGGGAGGGCAGCGCGCAGGCCCCCCTGAGGGCGCCTCGACGGACGGTGTAAGCGCCACGTGCCCCGAGCGCGTGGCGGGCAGAAAAAGCCGCCACGCGCTCCGAGCGCGTGGCGGAAAGAAAATGACACGTCGCGTGCCACGGGGCGCGCGACAGACAGAACGACAGTGGAAGCAGCTGGTGGGCCCGTAAAGGGAAGCGGCAGGAACGTGCTCGCTCTAGATACCATGTCATAATGAATATGTGAAACAAGAATGAAGGAAGAGGGGATTTGCACTAGCAGCAGTTGGCATACATATAGGAAACCCTAATTGGGTTGTACTCGCTATAGAGTACCCCACTGCACGCTAGACAATAATAGCATTCTAACACAAGGACTACGAAGAGATACAGTTAATAACCGTTTTACTATTGCTGTTGCGGTTCGATATAGTGATGACTCGGGCAACTGCTCAATAACGAGTCAGTTGTTTGTCCTTGCTGTCGCGCTGTATTTGTTAGGTCAAAGGTCACTGACGTTCGACTTTCACGTAACCTCCAGCAGTTACTTAACCTCCGAGGGTTGACTTGCTAATGCTTCGCTGTGTTTTGCTTCGTTTGCGACTTAGTGTTTTGACGCGACAGAGGCGCTTAAATCACTTGTTTTCAACACTCCCCTTCGCTTCTGGAGTGTCGCTGCTGGTGACGTGGCTCTGTCCAGTCAGCAGCATGCAGTACTCGAACTTAAGCTTTACGAGCTTCTTGGTCAAGTAGTCAGCTGCCATTTCGGATGTGGGGCAGTAGGACAGTTCGAGTCTGCCCTTCTCGATCTCGTCTTTTACGAAGAAATATCGTAGGGCGATGTGCTTTGTTCTGTTCGCGAATCCATTTTTGTTCGCTATGCGGATTGCTGACTGGTTGTCGCAGAACAGGGAGAAGCTGGGTAACTGAGCCAACTTCGCTTCTTCCAGGAGTTCGCGAAGGTACAGTCCTTCCTTGGTGGCTTAGCAGAGTGCGATATATTATGCTTCAGCTGAGGAGAGGGCAATTAACTCCTGCTTGCTCGACTGCCACGAGATAGGTGTGATAGGTTCGAAGCGATAGATGTAGACGGTGCGTGAGCGTCTGTTGTCGGAGTCGCCGACGTGATCGGCGTCGACGTAGCCGATTAACTTAGGTGTCGAGGTGTTATAGTCACAATAGGCTTGAATGTGCCTAAAACGAATGATAGAGAGCACAGACGGATTTCTGCACAGCGGCTTCAAACGTTGATAGCGTTCTGCTCACAGCTGCAAATGACTTGATTCAAATTGGATCTGGAGCGTCTTCACGTCGTCTACAATTAGCAATTTAGATTGCACGATTTGATAAAGAATTGACGACACAGCGTCGGTTTGAACGAACGGTACTATGGCAGCCACTATAGTCTTAGAACACAAGATAGGAAGAGTTAGCAAGGGTTACGAGTTGGGAATGACTCCCAGCTCCTACAAACCCCAAGAGCCGAGGTACAGTGATGTGGAACAGTGCCACACTGTCCCCAACCACGAAGGGTCTCGAAACTACCCTTCACTAGGGCCTACACCAAGTGAAATGTTACACTACACAAAGTAATGTAACTATCTTCAATATCTTGAGGTGTACCCTTTTGGCGAGCTTCGAAATCACTTGAGGCTTGACACCAAGGCTCGGGCTCTTCATCACAAACTCATCCTTGAGTTCTTGATGGGTCTGCTGCACACACCTGCGACACGCCGAACGTTCGACACAGGACAAAATAGAAACCGCGCACGACAAAATAGAAACCGCGCACGAGACACAAACAACCGCGTAACACGCGTCTAGCGATAACTCGCTATTGACTCGACACACACACTCGACATCATGACTCAACATTCACACACAATTTTAAGCATGAAATATATATTATCCCATGCCCTCATACCATTCCATACACACACACATTCACGCACACGGACAACAAGCCGAGTGCAAACCGTAGGGTTGCACCAACACGAGGTTCCATTCGTGTGGTAGGTCAGGCCGATCGTTGGAGTGCTAACGAGGTAGTGAAGAGCGCGGTCGAGCTCCGCCATGTGTTCTGCTTCGGGCCTTTTGAGGTAGGTGGCGAGCTGACTCGCAGAGTACGATAGGTCCAGACGGCAGGTGACGGCCGCGAAGAGGAGGCACCCCAGCTTTCTCTGGTTGTCGCGTATGCCGGCGGGCTTGAGCGGAACGGAGTCTTCCTTGTGATTTCCTGCGGTGTAGCGGTATGGCTGTTATAGTCACAGTAGGCTTGAAAGTGCCTAAAACGAAAGATAGAGTGCACAGTCGGATTTCTGCACAGCGGCTTCAAACGTTGATAGCGTTCTGCTCATAGCTTCAAACGACTTGCTATAAATTGGATCTAGAGCGTCTTGATGTCGCCTACAATAGGCAATTTAAATCACACGATTTCAACAAGCATTGAGGACGCAACGTCGGTTTGAACGAACGGCACTATGGCAGCCACTATAGACTTAGAACACAAATTAGGAAGAGTTAGGAAGAGTTACGAGTTGGGAATGATTCCCAGCTCCTACAAACCCCAAGAGCCGAGGTACAGTGATGTGGAACAGTGCCACACTGTCCCCAACCACGAAGGGTCTCGAAACTACCCTCCACAAGGGCCTACACCAAGAGAAATGTTACACTACACAAAGTAATGCAACTATTCTCACTATCTTAAAGTTTACCCTTTTGGAGAGCTTCGAAATCACTGAAACCAAGGCTCTGGTTCTTCAAGATAAATTCTTCCTTGAGTTCTTGGAATTCTGTTGCGCACACCTGCGACACGCCGAACGTTCCACACACGACAAAATAGAAAACCGCACACGACACGCAAACAACAACGTGACACGCGACTAGCGATAACTCGCTATTGACTCGACACACACTTTCAAAACCATGCCTCATCATTCACACACTATTATAAGCATGAAATATATATTATCTCATGCCCTCATACCATTCCATGCACACACGCATGCACGCACACGGACAACAAGCCGAATGCAAACCGTAGGGTTGCACCAACAAACTCCCCCTCGGATTGTTGGC